TTTACTCAATTCAATAGAGTCCTTGACGACAACGAAATATTTAAAAATGTAAATATAATGCAAATTTTCAGATGGCCGGTCTCCAGCTGCCCGCATGTGCCCTGGGTGGATTGCCCATTTGCAATCAGCTCAATGGATTATATTCGGGAAATTGCCCTCACACAAGCTCATATCTAAATGTTCGTTTAGAACATTCATAATGTTAAAATATTGAATTCTATATTATATTCAGGACATAAACTCACTTCAACGCTACGAAGGTCAGCACATCTACACGATCTACAGTAAGATGGATCAAGTTGTCGGCTTTTTGGTGTGCGGAGGGGTGAGTACAACGTTATAATAAACGTAATAAAGTTGATTTGAAAAATGACATAAAATTTCAATTTTCAGATCACTTCCCAAATCGGAGGACAAGAGGGTGAGCGAATGTTTGACGGGTTGAATCACGAGCAAACTTTCCATCAAACACATCATGTTCAATTGGCGATGATCCGTGAGCACAAAGTGATCAAGGTGTGAGGTGTCTATGCAAAATGAAAAGCTATCCGCTAACAGTTGTCATTTCTAACATTGTTCTTTCTCAGCAAACTTGAAATTTAAGTTCTATCAAAGATCAACTGTGAACTACATCAGTTTATCCATCACTTTCCTTTCTGTTGTTTATCCATCACTTTTCCTGTTGAGCCTTTAAAGTGTCAGATATACAGTATACCAGACTTTCAAAAACTACCGTAATCTTGCATATAAAGCGGTAAAATTCTGTAAAGAAGACCCAGCCTCTTGTCTCATTACAGTATGTCGAATATACCGTATACCAGACTGAATATTTCGAGTTATTCAATTGAAACTACAGCCAAATTTTTCAATAATTACCCGGACTCGTTATTTTAAGTGTAACTCACCACTCAGATGTGCAATCATCTCACGCTTTGTTTTAATAGAAAATTTGGCTCTTTCCCTGAATTGTGGTCTTTGGTCAAAATCTGTTTGTGACGCATCTGTTTCGACATCTTCATCCAACTCATTGTAGTCAGAGTCACCAGTGTCCGACGAAGAGGCGTGATTGGAGCCAAAGACATCTTTTGCATATGCAGCCAATGTCATGCTCAATTCGGTGTAAGCACCAAGCTTTCCGATAGTAGACCAAATTGATGGGGACACAACGGATAGAGCAAAAAGCAAGAAGATATCTCCTTCCCTAGGATTGTTCTCTAAATTCTGATCAAATAAACTGGTGCATGTGCCACTGGAAAATATTCCAGTTGACGAACTTAAAATGTAGAAATGCGACTTGTAGAAATGTAGAAATCTTCTTGCTTTTTGCTGTTGCATCCCGTTGTGTCCCCATCAATTTGGTCTACTATCGGAAAGCTTGGTTCTTACATCGAATTGAGCATGACATTGGCTGCATATGCAAAAGATGTCTTTGGCTCCAATCACCCCTCTTCGTCGGACACTGGTGACTCTGACTACAATGAGTTGGATGAAGATGTCGAAACAGATGCGTCACAAACAGATTTTGACCAAAGACCACAATTCAGGGAAAGAGCCAATTTTTCTATTAAAACAAAGCATGAGATGATTGCACATCTGAGTGGTGAGTTACACTTAAAATACCGAGTCCGAGTAATTATTGAACACCCTGTACAAAGTGTAGTCTTTAACCCTAAATATTTTTTACTTCTCCATACTGTAACAGGAAAGAATTTTCGAACTTGACAGTAACTTTAACCACATTTTTTCTTTCAAAAATCTTTTGCAATTCTTTATTGAGCCTTTTCTTTCTCCCTGGCATCATTTAATAAAGCGATTATTTTGCTTTTGCTCTCCCTTTTCTCATTTCCGATCTTCACTTATTCTACATGTACTCAATGCAATAAATTGTGCGACTTGCTTTTGCTTAAACATCGAAAAATAGAAAGCCTTGTTGCACTTGTTGAGATTTACAAAATGACACGAAAATCATAAAGATTGGCCCACTTAGAAGAAAGTTATGGCAAGTTGCGCAAAAAATTTGCCGCAAAGTAGCCGCCCCCTAATCCTGTAGATCGAACACAACCGTTTTTTATAAGCAGAAAGTCGGTCTAAAACGCATTTCCCCAAACTCCCACTGTGAAATTCGTGATTTACACAAAAAGCTACCCAAGAAAAAGTGGTTTTGGAAAAAATATAGTGGCCACTGCAACCCGACAAGTACCAAAAATTTTTTGAATTCTCGAAAGTTTAATTTTAGTTCCCCCTTACCCATTCCTGTAGATGAACAAGCAAACAAAGAAGAAGAAGAGCAAATCGAAGTGAGAACGGCCGCTCCATTGGAAATGACTTTAATAGTGTGGACTCTGGCTGGGAGCTGATTGTGTGTGGTGGATTTGATGGATCACGAACGACGAACAAGGTGAAAGAGTCAAAATCTTTCGGAAAAGGGTCTAAATTTGTGAATGCCATCAGTAACTTTTATCATTTAGTCCGAACGCTTTGACTTCAGGAATACGCGCTGGAGCGATTTCCCCAGTATGACACTCTCAAAATCGGCACTCCGTATCACATCAAGTGTGGATTTTTCTTGTTTTTGGGCTCTTGCTTTTAAAAACAAAACGAAGAATTTCTTTCATTTCAGGGATCATCCGATTATTCCGCTGCTGGTGAAGTACGATGAAAGTGACGCGGTTTCCTAACAACCACCGATGTGCATCCGATCAAATCGAAACGCTCTTTTTACAAGATTCCTCTCTCTCGAATCCTTATGTTGTGCTTTTGGCTTTCCCGGCAGCTTTCTTTTCTCGCTTTTCTAGTTGATCTTGATTTTATGGCGATATCTTTATTACATAATTATATCGTGTTGCTTTCTAATAGTTCTTTTCATGTGTATGTGTATGAATTCATGTATACTAATCTTGGCGCACTTTATTTCATTTCCTGAATAGTATATAAATATTTCCTGACAACCACCGATGTGGATCCAATCAAATCGAAACGCTTTTTACACGAATCTTCTCTCTCGAATCCTTTGTTTTGTTTTTGATTTTTCCAACAGCCTCGCTTTGTTTTTTCACTTATTTTCCCCAGTAATACTGTGATTGGCTGGATTTCTCGATTAAACTCTTCTCGATTAAACCCCGCTAATGGTTTCTCGCTTTTGTGTATTGTTTGTGGTCGTACTCAATCCCTCTTTTCGGGTCGTTCCCAAGTACTGAATAAGATAATATTAAAGTTAGTTATTAAAGTTTTATATGGTTCTAGAGAGGACACGTCAGTCTCTCAAATGATATAAAATAGAATTTGATTGAACTATACAATCGTAAGAAAAGCAATTCTGACATGAGATTCTCAAAGTGAAAACCTCAAATCACTCTGCAAATGACTGGCGCGGTGTTCTTTGTGTGGTTTACTTTCGCTTCGATCGATTTTTGACTTTTCGAATTTACAAGGATTTTCTCAAATCATAAAAACATTGAAAAACGATCTATCTCATCGGATATTCAACGGGGAAAGGCCAAATGGAGCCGGTTGTGATGAGGAAAAGTTTGTTGTCGTCAGTTCCTGAAAATTTTGAGACTTTCGATGGAATCCTATCTGCTATTGTAAGCTTAAAACTACCAATGAAAATATTCCCAGCATTGTCCGTTTGCCAATTTGCTTTGTTGAAGAGATTCGGGGCTTTCGTTGTGGTGTTAAGTGGGTCAACAGTTGTCGTCGTTTTTCCTGAAGATTTGCATTTGAAGAAAGATTCTATTAGGGTGGTGCAAAAGAAACAGCCGATGGTATCAACTCTCATTTATCAGAAACGAGCGATACTAACGGCATTCTTTTCTTTTATGTTTTGTTCGCATATTTGTTTGCTATTTATTTCGACATTTGAATTTTTTGGTTGTCGTTTATTTTATTTAAAAATGCTTATATTTTTTTATTTAGATCATGGTCGAGCAAAAGTTTGTGCTACGAGCAGCATTACTGTTTAACTTCAAAATTGGAAAGTCTGCTGCCGAATCGAATCGTTCTCTCTGTGCTGCTTTCGGAGATGGCAGTTTATCTCTTAGGCAGTGTCAGACTTGGTTTCAACGATTCCGAGAGAGAGACGAGACTTTGGAAGATTACGAGCACGGTTCGAGGCCAGAAGTCGTGAACGAAGCCAAGCTGAGGGACGTTATTCAGGCCGATCCATGCCAATCTGCTCGAGATCTTGAGTAGTATATAAAAAGTTACTAGTTACTAGCGCACCATTTTGCCCAAATGACCTTTTTTGCAGATTTTCAGCCATTTAAGACATTTTTGAAGTGAAAACATGTCTTAATTTTCTCAAAATGTGTCATTTTTGAAACATGACCAAAAAATGACTGGCGCACCATTTTGTCCATTTTGCCCATTTCACAATTTCTAATGTTTTTGATGTATTTTTAATGTTATTACTGTTATTAAATGAAATTATCAAGAGACCTGAAAGCATTAACAAATCTTGATCTTCTTGCTTTAGTAGAAAAATTAGAAATCAAGAATTTCCGTGGAATCTTTATGAGAGACACTTTGCCTACTCAAATACAGCCAAGAGAAGTAGGAATTGTGACTTTAGACTCGATTAGGTGATGCCGATCAGAGTTTAAAATTGTCACAAAACGATAATAAAAATATAGAAAAAAATGAGAATAGGCAAACTACAATTAAAAGACCAAAAACTTATAAAAAGAAAAATAAATTAACCAAAGAGAACCAAGAATTTCTAAATGGAATAATTACTGGTTTTGGATTTAAAACTATTTCAAAGCAATAAATTTATATCTCTTTTAAATGTAATTATGTAACAATCTAATAATACTTATGTAACAATCTAATAATAAAAAGGGTATGAATAACAATAAGCAATTTTTATTCTTGAGAAAAATTCAACCAAAAATATGTCATCAAAGCATATGAACACTGTAACAATGTAACAACAATAAGTATACTTTGAATTGGCATATACAGCTCGGATAAAGCACTATTTCAATATAATTAATATTCAAATTCCAACAAAACCATAAGCATGAAAAATAAATTTATTGAAAAGCTGAACATATCGAGGCATAATTCGATTTGATATCTTGGAGATAGTTCTCGACGTCATTTGTAGCAGTCCCGAACTTTATTCCATGTTCTCGCAATTCGCTTTTCTCAATACCAATGATATCGCTTGTCATGCTATTGATTCGACTCCAATGGGGCAGTGCATCCTTGGCAATTTTCATCCTCTCTTCAGGTCCAATTTCAGTTAGAATTTCGTTGGCTTTTCCTAATCCACCAAAGTTGCTCTTATCCTTCAAATCATCGAGTATTTTGCGTCGTAGAAAGTCGTCAGTATCCAGAACGTAAAAATCAATGATAGATAGGGCTTTCTCTTCGGTTGAACCAATGTTTCCTTCATTCAAGTCGCGTATTCCAAGGATAATTGAGAGCAGGTAAGCCTAAAATGGGTTTTATTTAAATAAATTCAAATACTGTTGCAAAAGTATCTTTAATTAAAGAATGATTGAAAATGTATTACCTCAACAACGACTTTATTTTGCAGACTAACATCCTCAAGTTTGTCCAGCTCTTTGAATTCTTTGACTTCTTTAGTTGCAATGTAGTGAATGCATGTCGATGCAGCATAGAATGGGAAGAATACAACAGGTCCAACTCCAATAAGTTCAAGAAGTCGATATGCGAACATTTCGCGAAGATCTGGCAGGTGTCGCTTTGCTGTATTTTGCAGAGAAATTGAAGATCCGGCATGATGATAGGTTTTCATATAGTAATTTGCTTCTTCATCATGGCAAGTTACCGCTACCACAATTCCAGCCCGAGTACCACCTTGTTTGGGCTTAAAGTCGATTTTAGAATTGGGATACATCTTGGAAAAAAATGTTGTAGCGCTTTGTTTGAAAGCAGCTTGCGTCTTGTCCACAAATCTGAAATATGGAAATTCTTATTTTATCAATTTTTGTTCAAACAATTTGAATTAAAGTATGGTGATCACATGAGAATGTGATCACCATGACCAGACGCACAACTTTCTCTCTTACTAATTTTCACTTATTTTTTGGTCGGACTTTAATTCAAATTGTTTGAACAAAAATTGATAAAATAAGAAAATATCAATGCCCTACGATTTTTCCTGATTTTTCTACAATGTTTTTACTGAAATTTCACTACTCATTACGTCTCTCCCTCTCCCTCTCCCCACTCTCTACCCACTCCGCGCTCTCTAACTCTCTCCCTCTTCCATTTATGGTGTGTCTACAAAAGGACTCGACTGTTGAGCCCACACCACGTTCGAGCGGACAGGGCCTTTAACTAACAAACCTCATCATTGGACTGATAGTATCTCTCCACTGTGCACCAAAAGTGACATAAACGATGAGAAATCCGGAACCCTCCAGCGCTTTTGAACATGCGATTGCTTGATGTGCAAACTTGGTTCGCTCGGGCCTTGCATTCTTCATATCATTGACATTTTTGCAATACTCCAGGTATTCACTCCACGTACCCAGAAGAGCGTGTTTCTAAAAAATGAAAATGTCAAAATGGTGTAAAATATTGGTTTGTTCCAGTTATAAAATTCACTAGCTGTATAATAATTGCCTAATTGTCTGTCTGCCTTTGTATTGTTGACAATATCACAATGAGCTAGAAAGTTAATTCACTAGCTGTATAAACAATAAACAGTAAATTCAACTTACCACAAAAAGTTCTTCAAAATCATTGATTGATTCGAGAGGATGAAGAGAATCGGGTAGCTCATCACCACGGAATTGGACTTGTTGAAATTCGGATGGAATATTCGTCACAGTCTCAATCCGCTTCTTCAGGTCAACGACATGAATCTGAAATTAACATAAAATCAATTATTATCAACCATAAAAGTAAAAACCTGTGGATCCAACGCAATATGCTTGAATAATTTATCCTTCTCTTCGCCGACCAAACGAATAGTAATCACGACCATGTCTAAAACCAAAGAATTAATGAAATAAGTAAATTGAATAAATAAAACAGTTTTAATACTAAGTTGAAAAACTGAGACATTACGCCAGACAATAATATACGGAGAAGTTGTTAACAAACTCAAAGTTAAGGAGAAAATAACAATGATAATCACGGATGGGAAATCACGAAATCAACGCAAACTACAGAAGAAAAGGAAGTCTCTTTTCTATTCACAAAAGTTAATGGAAGAATGCGATGTTGCCAGTTTCTCGCCTTCCTCTGCGTCTCTGCTCACAGATGCGTCACTCTCATCACCCTTCCACTCTAGCCCAACGGGCTTCTTGAAAGAACTTCTTGAAATTGTCTTTGTCTTCGGCAATCTCATCGAAGAGCTCGACACATTTCTTGACAAGGTTCTTCCGGATGACCTTCAGAATCTTCGACTGTTGCAACATCTCACGTGAAATGTTGAGGCAGATCTTCGGAATCGACGACTCCTAAAGAAACTTCACTATTGTAGTTCCACTAAATGCAATTTCGAAAGCTAAAATCAACGTACCTTTCACAAAGTTAAGGTACTCAGGCATCAGCTCCTCAGTTTTCCATGATGAAGACACGGCGCACGTAAAGCTTGATCGAGTTCTTCGATTTCTTGTTCTCGAAGAGATCAAATGGAGCACGTTGAGGCACGAAGAGAAGAGCGCGGAACTCAAGTTGACCCTCAACACTAAATTCATTTGTTCATAGATAAAAGCAGTAAAGGAAAACCTGAAGTGTTTGACGGCTAAATGATCCTCACAATCATTGCTCAAGCTCTTGTAGAATTCCCCGTACTCCTCGTTTGAGATGTCATCGGGGTTGCGAGTCCAGATCGGTTTCGTCTTGTTGAGCTCCTCGTCTTCGAAGTACTTTTCCTTGATCTTCTTCTTTTTCTTGTCCTTCTTGTCCGCATCCTCATCTTCGCCGACATCCTCGACCTTTCCTTCCTAAATCAATGAAGTTAACAAAGAAATCGATGCTGAGCCAACCTCAGATGCCTCTTCGGGCTTTTCCTCCGCTTCTTCGTCCTCCACTTCTTTCTCACGTTCTTTCTCCACGAGCAACTTTGATTGGATAGCCGATGAACTGCGAGTGCTTCTTGATGATTTCTTTGATGCGGCGCTCCTCGAGATATTCGGCCTGATCCTCCTAAAATAAAAAAATTTATTAGTGCTACATGCACAAAGGAATACCTTGATGTAGAGAACAATCTTGGTACCACGAGGCACTTCTGGGTCGTTGACCGCGGTGATGATGAAGCTGCCGCCAGCCGACGACTCCCACATGTGGCAATCGTCGTCGTTGTTCTTCGAGGTCACAACGACCTTGTCCGCGACGAGAAAAGCAGAGTAGAATCCGACTCCGAATTGACCAATCATCGAAATGTCAGCTCCAGCCTAAATTAACAAAGTTGCTTTAACCCAAAACTAATAAACTTGAAACGCTTACTATGCTTTAAAATCAACCTGAAGAGCCTCTATGAAAGATTTTGTTCCGGACTTGGCGATGGTTCCGAGGTTGTTCACAAGATCAGCCTTTGTCATTCCGATTCCAGTGTCGATGATGGTGAGCGTCTTGTCCGCCTTGTTGGGGACAATCTTGATGAAGAGCTCCTTACCCGAGTCGAGCTCCGATGGTTCCGTCAGAGCTTGATAGCGGATTTTGTCAAGAGCATCCGAAGAGTTGGACACAAGTTCACGAAGGAAGATCTCCTTGTTACTAAAAAATAAAAATTAGTGAACGAAAAAGCAAGCTAAATCAAACCTGTAGAAAGTGTTGATGATCAAAGACATCAACTGAGCGATTTCCGCTTGGAAAGCGAAAGTTTCGGCATCACCAGAATTACCAGCAGCAGATGAAGACATCTAAAAAAGTGAATATACATAAGCAATGAGCAATAAAGTGTTGAATGGGAAAAAGGCAAAAGCAATCAGGTTGAGGAAAACTCGCAAATGAAATTTTTTTTAACTTCGTCGTTTCTTGGTGCTTTTACGTACGACACCTAACGACAATCTCGTCAAAACTGCGCCATAAACTTTTAATAAATTAACTGAATATTTTGTTGCTGCCGAATACAACTATATAACGAGCAAAAGGTTTAAAGCGATTTGGCCTTCGGCCTTTGCGCAATCTTCCTTTCGTTAGAGCTACACAACTTCCTTTTGGATCAAATTCCTCAATGTCTTTGTCACCTACCTAATCACCTGACTGGGTTAGGCTCGCGCTTCGCCTAACCCAGGCATTTGCGACCGGTGCGGGCTGGCACGTGTGCTGCAAGCTCTCACGGGCGTCGCCTACGGTGCCGCTGTATGTGCGGCGCCGAAGCCTAGGTAAATAGCAGGCCCGCGACAAAGGGAGCCTCGCAGGAGTCAACGGCAGGGGAAACGGTCAAATGGGGGTAAACTGCAGTCTTGCCAAACTTTCCATATTAAAAAACGACTCCGACTTGGTTTTAGGTGATTGTACCATTATAAAGTAGGGGACATCGTTGAAAAAAAATTTTTAACCTAAAGTTGAACTATTTGCAGTAAACGGCGATCAGCGGTAAGTTGACGAACGAGTGTATCGAAGATAAAAACGGTTTTGTTCGATGTACAGGGTTAAACTTTAAACCAAGGTAGGTCATTAAAGGTACCTTTAGATCTTAAAAATTGCTCATCTGATCTTTTCTCGTTATTACTTTCTAGAGAGTGTTCTGTATTTTTGCATTGCACATGTTAGGACACTATTGAGCACGATCTGTCGTGCTCAATAGCAACTCCTATGGTTAGAGAAGGGATCTTTTTAGAAAATCCCTGGTGACAATAGAACGGGTTTTGGGGATTGTCGATTCAAGAGCCTGTTTTGTTGCTTGCTCATTCTCCTCGCCTTGACCTGATCAATAAACGATGTAACTGATTTCTTTATAAAATCTAATAAAACTTTGCTTTAATCTCTATGATTTTCAATCTATAATTTTAGATGTGGTCGATTGATAGTCTATTTCTTTTGTTACTGCCAGTAGTTCATACCGCGTTTACCCCGCACTTTAACAAATGGCTGGGAAATTTCTACGGTCCACAGATTCGAGATCAATTGGAAAGGTAGTGCAATTGAGCATATTGAGATAACTGGAAAATCGAATCCAGAGTAGACCTTGGACCGAAAGGATCGTATGGAGGGAAAATCGATGATGCGGATGCGCCGATCAATCAGCCGGTGATCTTTGTGCACGGGGTTTCCGATATGGCTGGAGAGAAACCGACCGAGGCGGCCAATTGGTTCAAGTTGGTTAACATCGAAAATAAATACTTTTTCTAAAACGTGCGAATTTTCTGAAATCCCGTAATCTTCCATCTCTCCAATCTATATTTTTATCTTACAGTATCTTTCGCGAACAAAATCAAACCAAAGGTAGAAGTTGAGACAAAAGCTAGAGGCAGATTACGGTAGTTCCAAAAGCTTACCCAAGTTCAAATATAAATTGCTCACTTTTACATTCTTTTCCTGTGCTTAAGTGAGATCAAACTGAAAACAAAGTCACAAAGCTATCAAATAGTCTAGAACCAATGGTGGCTATAAGCAGTCGGAGCTCTACTCGACCACGTATTTCAATGGAGCACAAGGGAATCCCCTGAAATGGGTCGAGTACTCGATGAAATGCGAATATGTGAAACAGGTTTTGATTGAGGATTGATAATATTCAAAATAATCCTCTAGGTAAGAGCCTTGATCGTTGCTGTTCGTCTTTACACTGGTCGTCAAGTGGACGTGGTCGGATTCTCGTTGGGAGTCCCTGTCTCACGAAAAGCAATCCTTGGAGGTACTATACACATTTACAAAGAGTAAACTTTTCTATACTTCAATCACGAATTCAGGGCACTGTGTTGACACGGGCGAGTTCCTGGGAGGTCCATTGACAAAGTTCATCGACACTTACGTGGGTGTGGCTGGGCCGAATCACGGAATCGCGTTGCAGGTGTGAATCTAAACTTAACTTACTATTAGAACTAAAATGTGTCAACTTTCTAAAACTATCGTAACCTTGCCTCTAGCAACTACCGTAATCTTTTTGTCTTTTCGGTATCCTTCGTGAACCTTCATAGAATTAGAGACTAGAGACAAGATAACGGTAGTTTTTCAAAGTGCCGTGGCTTAGAAAACTCAATT